GAAAGGAAAAAAAAAAAAAAAAAAAAAAAAAAAAATGAGGCTGCTTTTACAGCTGCTGCTGCCTCCTCGCAGGTTGCTGCAGTCGGAGTTTGCTCGGCCCGGCTGCCCATAGCGCTCGCGTGGGTGCCATCTTCAGCCTTTGCTAGCTGTGTTTTCCATCCTTTCTGCCCCAACGCTTGTCAGTCCTGTGCACCGATGGCAGCGCAGGGCAGCTGCCCCGGAGCTGCCTTCTGACGCGCTGGGTTCGCGAATGCGCTGTGGGGATAGGCGGTGGCCAGCGCAAACCAGCCGCAGAGGCAGGAGGGCTCTTTCTGGGTGGCTTTGAGTCTCAGAGGCAAATTCTCCTGCCTGGGAGAGAGGGGAAGGAGAGGTTCAGTGTTTGCCTTGGCCCATCCACACGCACATGAAGGTGCCTGGCCACCCTGATGGGACAAGGACATCATGGGATGGCCAGGGTGGAAGAGGGGGTTGCAATGCACTGTGCATGATCCAGCTTCTTGCAGCAGGGCTTGGAAAGCAGGGCTGAAGGATCTAAGGAGGTCTGATGGACACTGCAAGGTACCTGTCCCCTCCTCTGAGCGACATCTGAGAGGTCTGGGGCACCAGGAGCGCTTTAGGGGGTGAGGAGAGGGTGTTTCCCAAGCAAAGACCCCTGCCCTTTTAGGTCCCAGCTCCCTTATCTCCTTTGAACCTCCTGGTATGCCGATTGTGCTCATGTCAGAGGGCTGGCCTGGCAAAATCCCCTCGGTTCAAGGGTGGGAATAGCAGTGTATTTCAGTCGCGGGATAATTACCAGTTGTCAGCAAGACAATAGCCACATTGTGGGGCAGGCCTGAAGCGCAAGGGCTCCGTCTTGGGGCGTAATGTTACTTTTTTCTATTTATGTTGCCATTCTTTGCTGAGAAATGGCCTTATTCTTCCTAATCCGAGGCCTCAGACATGCCTGCCTTTCTTTTTTTTCATCTTGGCTTGCGGGATCGCTTGCCCCTGGGCGGGCTGGGAGACGGGCGGCGCGGGGCCTGGAATGGGCCTTGCTGCTGCTGGCAGTGAGTTTGGGCTTGTGGCTGTGCTTCTGCCAAGGGGAACCTTTCTCCTTGCTTGGTGGCTACCCAAATATACTGATTTTTATTCTTTATATATTTATTTTGTGATGGAATATAGTCTTTAGGCTGAACTTGATTCTTTCCCCCTTCCTGGAGTGGGTGCATACTTTACCTTCTATGTGTTTTTTGTTTGTTTTTTCCCTATAGAGTTACATGAGTTATTGTACCCATTCCAGTTTCCCTTTCTGTTGCACAAGACAATGACAGCTTCTTAGCAGCTTCTTACCCTATTTCAAGGAAACTACTTCTCAGTGGAGATGAGAATTTGTCCCACATGTCAATCAGCCTTTTAGAACCGTCTAGGCAAATGCAGCTTATTAAAGTGGCACAGCAACCTCAGGGTTTGTCTTTGGGACCAAGTGATTAATGGAAGGAGGAAAACTGGGCAAACTGATTGCTTTTGCTTGTCTGCTATGGATACTGAGAACAAATGGATCTCTCATCCCTTGTATTACTTAGTCATTGGAAAAAGGGAAGATATATTTTGGGGAGCTTTTTTTCAGGCGAACCTGGAACTTCAGACCTGGAGGCTTCTCCATGTCCGAAGGAGCTGCACTAGCAAACAGGAGGAAACCAGACTGTTGTCTCTGCCTGTGCGTTTAATGCAGACACCACCAAAATCAGCCCTTTGGACACCCTTAACCCCTATTTCCAGAAGGGTTAGCTAGTGCTTGCGCTTCCTTGAGCTGACTTTTTTTCTCCCACTAAAATGCTCTTTTTGTGGCAGCAGAGATGGGCCCTTGTCCTAGCAGGGTGCCAGGAACTCAGGCTTTACCCAAGGTCAAATTGTGATCAGTCTAATTTCAGTGCATTTGCCCATTTTTTTTAATAACTCAGGGACAAGTGCAGCAGGGTAGGTTTAAGGGCCAGATGATGCTTTTGCAAGTTAGGTGGCCTGTGATATGGCTTGTCATTGGGGATTTTAAATAGCATCAGCCCAGCAGCCACCTGCAAAGGGCCCCAGCAGGAACCACCACTGTCTGCTCAGCCTGGTGGCTTTGAGCCTGGGGAGGCAGCCAGGGTTTCATGCCCCAAACCAAGCTCCCTGGTTCAACTGTGGGTGCCAAAAGCCTCGCCAAGGTCTGTTGAGAAGCAGCGTGTCCTCGTGCTGACGGGCAGCCCTGGCACGGGACACACTGCCGGGACAGGGGATGTGAGAGCCTGGCTGTTCTGTGCAAAGGGAAGCTTGTAAAGGAGCAGTTGAGGGATGCCACAGTCGGTGCCACAGAGCAGGTATTATCTGCGGGGTGCTGAGAGGTGGAGGGACAACAGGTTGGACGAGGGATCTCCTTACGGGCAGTGTGGTCATGAATTTTATGAGGCTCCAAGATAAACAAAGTCCTCTGCGCTTGCCAGAGGTCAGCGCTGATAAAACAGAGCAGAGCTGAATCACGGGCAGATTAGATCTGCAGGCTCAAAAAAATAAAAAAGGCAGAAATACGCTCTTTTTCTTCTTTCCATTGCCTGGTGGAACAGTGTTTCTCACCACCTTGTATGTCAGCCGTGTGCAGGAGGCTGGTGGCCAGCGCGATGTAAACACCAATTGCCAAGAACTGTTGCACTTGTTTTTTGGCATGGATAAGATGACCGGAGTGTGGAGGGTTCAGCAAAAGAAAATCTGAGGGGAAAAAAGGAATTTTTAAAGGTTTTGGCTGAGTTTAAGATTAAGGTGTGAGATTTGGCGGGTTGCAACGTGGGACCATATATAGGTGCGGGGGCCTAGCAGTGGCCCTGCTCCACCTTGTCCCCGCAGCTCTTTCCCGCTGCTAAATCCGCTGTGGCTGGTGCTGGGAAGCGATACCCGGCCCGGCTGTGCCCCCCGAGCCCTATGCGGAGGTCGGCCGCCGGAATTCCTGGCTGGCGGGGGCCCCCGGCGCTGAATGACGGGG